GGGGAGGAGAAGACGACGACGACAACGATGATGACAAATTGACCGCGTGACTTGATCCACTTTTGTTTCTCTGTTCCGACCTATAAACTTACCTTATATGTAAGTACATAGAGCTTATTACAGTACTGGTGGTCAAAACTTACCACAAAGTCCTACAAATGCAAAGAAAGTAAGTAAGAATCCTTAGGAAAGCAAGTGTTCCCTCTGCTCTGCGGACGACCTTCGGGGGCTAAGAGGACTCTGGTAGAACACAGGTTACCTGAATGTATTAAAATGCACCATCTTCGTGTGTTTGCAGTCAGCAGCCGCAAACACCTGCTTGATCTCTCTCGATTTTGCCTTTTCTTCTTTCAGCTTCTGCAGGGCAAGTTCAATGTTGCTATATGGGAACTAGGAAGGAAAAATGATTGAAAGTTTAATGCATATGCCTGAGCCTTTCGGAGCCCAGAATTTTTTTTTTTAACTTTTCATTTTATTTGTACATGTTTGCAGCTCATGTTGTTTACAATGGTCTCTGGGGAATGCTTACATGAACATATTTTTCCCTTCTCTTTGATTCCTTCTCCTCTCCCTCCTTCTCCACCTCTCCCTCCTCCTCCATGTCCCCATCTCATTTTTTACTCCTGTTGATGTTCTTAGTCTTGGCTCATGTTATGGTCTATAATGTCTACATTAATTGAGGTTATTAGGTTCCTGTATAAGGGACACCTTTTGCTACTTATGGCTCCCTCCCCTTCTCCTCACCCCAGCCCTTGTTCCCTTGGACTGCTTCCCTATTGCAAGAGATCCATTGCCTAGTTCCTTCCTATCCATCCTTCATCCGTGTTTGCACTTTGCCTCATTCAAATGAGGGATTCCATATGGTATTTAACCTCATGTGTCTAGTTTATTTCACTCAACATTATGCTTTCCAGGTGTCCCCATTTTCCTACAAATATCTCAACTCGGTCCTTCTTTTTAGCTGAGTAGTATTCCATTGTATACAGATATCACCTTTTCTTTGCCCAGGCATCTGTTGGTAGATATGCAGGCTGGGTTTCCAGGACTTGGCTATTACATGTTGTGCTGCTATAAGCACTGGTGTGCGTGTATCGCTACACTATGCGGATTTCAGCTCTTCGGGGAAGATACCTAGCATTCATAGCTGAATCCCGTGGAGTTTCTAATTTCAGAGCTTTGAGAAATCTCCACTTTCCAGCATGGCTGTAACAGTGTACATTCCCGCCAACAATGAAGAAGGGCTTCTTTTTCACCATAGCCACATCAGCATTTGTTGCTGTTTGATTTCTTGATGACTACAGCCCAATATATCTGATGGCTAACAAAGAGACTGCGCATGGTAACCCCAAAGAGGCCAACGTGACAAGAACATTATTACTAGCTTCGTTACCTCCTCAGTAAGTCCTTAGGAACAACTGATAACAGCATCAGATGCCAAGCTGAAAGCCACAAAGACTAGAAAACAGTCCTCTCCCAACGCCCCAGCCTCCTCCCCAGTATTGACAGACCCTATGAAGAGAATGAGAATTCAAAATTGGGACACAAGACCCTCATTTTCTCCAGATCTTTAGAATGGGTCATCCTGGATCTGCACTGATCAGAGCAGGACTGAAAGTCAAAGCCCCACAAGGGCACTGTAGTTCCCACGCTTTCATGCTGTAGTCATCAAGAAATCAAACAGCTTTCTGAGCAGCCCACTGTCCCTGTCACCTACCCTGAGATTTGCCTTTTGACTTGGTAAAAATACTTCTTATTCAATGCAGTAAAGCCTAAGGTTGTAAATAATTACACCTAAAAGATGAAAAATGAGACAATTCTAGAACAAAAACAATGATGGCAATTTAGTATAAAGCACCTCTTTTCCAGGACAAAATAATTCCCGTGCCTTGGCACCTAGCGGAGGCCCCCTCCTCACTCTCTTTTGCATTTCCTTTCACCTATTTCAATGACGGAATCTATTAGTTCTTTTCAAAAGACTCAGACTAATATTAAAAAGTATATTAAACTTTCTCTGTTGGTTAAAAATAATTTTAAAATAACGCAATTTTCACTGGGTATCCTGATAACAGATAATGCCATCTACTGCTTTTATCCTTCAAGAAAGAGAGAAGCCCTTTATGTTTTAAAACTCTGTGTCTGGCAGGGAAGAAAGCTCAGTGGTAGTGTACTACCCTCGTGTGTGTGAGCCCCCGGATTCAATCGGTAGTGTAACAAAAACTAAAACAACCAAATACATGTTTTCTGGACACAGATCACCCTCAAATTGTGATGCGTGTGTAGCCTGATAAACCAACTATAAACTGAAAATATCTGAAGTCATAAATACATTGGCTACATCGAACCTACCATGCAATACCAGCTGTATCCCCTTGTGATGGTGGTGTTGACGGGGCCTGCTGGTGTCGCTGCTCAGAATCACAACAGAGGACTGGACCACACAGGGCAACTTGGGGAGAGAGCGAAACTCAAGCTCTGAAATGTACTTTCCACCAAAGGCACACTGCCTTTGCTTCAGGCAATGCCCAAAACCCCTCAGTCCCACAATCCTAAGTCAGGGATCATGTGTATATTTCCCATTAAGGTATAGGTTCACCCTGTGTTTGGAAAAAAAAAAAAATACCCGATTTACTGCTACAGTGACTGAGCTTACCATGGGCCACACAGAACTAAGCACTTCACAGTCATCATTATTGCGACTGATCTTTCTAGCAACTTTATGAAAAGGGAGCTGCTGCAGCTCTGCCTTCAAAGACAAGGAAACTGAAGCTCAGGAAACATAACTGACTAGAGCCTCTCAGCTGTGATGTGTGGAGTACACATTCCAAGGTAGGCCTGCTTGCCGGACTCTAGAATCCTACACACCTGTTCAATGAATTTCTTGATGCAGTCCACTATTCACATTCAGCTACTAGTTCATGGTCTCACAATGACCTGAATCCCTAGCTGGAAATGGAGAGATGGTGTGGTAGCCATGGGAGGTGCTAGTTGGGCCTTCTCTCAAGAAAGACCCTGCAGGGAAAAGCACTGTTAGCCAACAACATCCGGGGACTGTAGCTTACAGATCCATGCAATATCCCTACACAGGCCATATACTTCCCAGTCCATCCCACCTGATGACTAAACAGAACAAGGAGACTGGACCTGGGCCATCCCTGCTTGACTTGGGTGGGCCCAGATGGGCCAGCTTAGGTCTTGGCTCCCCATCTACTTGTCCAAAACCTTCTCAGCACTAACCTGCCAGGCTGAAGTTCTTGCCAGCCAGCCAGCCAGCCAGCCAACCTGCCTGCCTGCCTGCCTGCCTGCCTGCCTCCCTGCCTCCCTGCCTCCCTGCCTCCCTGCCTCCCTGCCTCCCTGCCTCCTTCTCTCCCTTCCTCTCTCCTTTCACAAGGGTGAGCCTTACACCCTGGTCTGAAGGTTCAGTGTATCCTGTGTCCTCCTGCTCCCTCTCCCCTTTGTCCCTGAGGCCTTTCTTTCAACATACCTCTTCCATGTCTGACTCTACCTAGGCATCTGCTACTGGAAAGACCCAAACTGATCTGAATGATATGACCCACACTCTAGCAACTTAACCCTGAGCATTTTATATATAAAAGAGTCAAAACTGGTACTGTATGTATACAAATGATACACAGATATTATTACTCATAGATGAACTTTTAAAATAAAATTTTTTTGCATATACTTTTCAGATGTAGACATGATTCTCAAATAGACATGTTTTCACACGGAACAAAAAGCAAGACTTTATCAGAATGTCCTTTTTTACTGAATAGCATTGCCATCATAGCACGTTTTGTAACACTACCCAACTTCCATCTTATTTCAAATGAAAAACAAAAAAAAAAGCTCTTCAATCTCACAGTGGAAAATCTGAAGTTAAATTTTTATTCAGGCCCCAGGTGGCCACTGTCATGGGAAGTTGCAACTCCAGCAACTATGGAGTTCCCTTGGGGTTTGTTTGTTCCGGTCTTGGCCTTCTCTGTTGGCCTGTGCCAATTAACTGGGATGGCACAGTGTGTGGCACCAGATTTTCTTCCTTTCCTATAGCTGCTGGATTTCTTTCTGAAAACATTGCTAGTGTCAGCAGAAAACCCAGGAAACCTGACTCAACCCTGGGCTTGCCTCCTGCCTGTGCCTGGAATCTGTGATGCTGGGCAGTGGAGAGCCAAGCGTGTAAACAGAGGAGACAAGGACTGGCCTCTGCAATGGGACCTGTGGCCAAGTCTCACGGATCCATTATTCATGCCCACATGTGTGAATGCACAATGTAAAACCAGTGGCAAGATGAAGAAGCAAAGGCCCTAGAGAAAGAAAAACACGCACTGCAGAGGGCTGGGAGGCAAGTCAAGAACTATGCAGAGCAAATTCACCTTGTCGACGTTCTTCTCCATGTATTCTAAGGTGAACTCATCGGCATTGAGCAAAACAAAGAGGTACCCGTTCACATTCACTTTGGCTCCAACATACAGCTCCTCAACCTTGATATATTCCGAGAACTCACTTTTAAAGACTTCTTGGCCAAACCTCTTCACACGGCTTCTTTTGAGGAACAGCCCACCACTGTACCCTGTAGGAAAACAGAAACATCTATGGGTATCCTTCCTTCTAAAAAGAACCAGGACTTGTCTTTCGAGTCACTTCACTCGCAAACACAGAGTGAGCAATTTAGCTGTGAAGTCTTACTAACTTCAGGGAAGAAGCAAGCAATGGGTGAGGAAAAAAGACCTCCTAGGTAAATGTGTTAAATAAAGAAGTGCTACTGTATTCCAGCTTTTTATCTTTTCTTTCTCCCTTCCTAGCCCGACACACACTCAGCAAGGACCTTCAGTCTGGATCTGCAGTGCCCTGGAGGTGTGGCGTACCTGAGGCTGTTCATCCTTAAGGCCTGTCTGAACAGCATCAGAAAATTCCTCAGCTGTGCTTACTTGCACCAATTCATCTGCCATGCAGATTAAAGCTTGGAAAGGTCTGTACAGGGGATTACCAAAGTGTCTGGAGACAACTGGAGAGGATGCTTGACTCATTTTTTCCTACAGGTAAAGTATCTTTACTTCTTGTTTTGCAGAATCCTTACCATTTCATCTGTTCTCTTCCAGGCATTACGTGTTTTGTGACCTCTTGGAAAACAGCAAGCAGAGGTCAACAGAAGCCTCCGGTACCCATGAGTACAACCTGAGACCAAGTGCGCTTTGGCAACCGCTTCCCCACACTTCTGCTACCACATTCAGAGAGCATCAGGGTTGGAAAGACACAGGCTTTGGAGCCCAGTACAGCAGTGCTCCACCCTTGCTTGGTCACTGCCTACTGGATGAGTTCTCCGGGCTTTTTCACTACTCCGACCCTCTAGGAATTCTTACTAGAAATGGGAAGACATCTGTGTGAGGGAGGGTCCCTCCGAGATCAGCTACTGGGAGGAACATAAATGACAGCAGGCTCCATCCGCTGTGCGCTAAGCTCCGTGCGCAGTTGTGTGCAAAGCCATGCTTCGCAAAGGCTGCGCATTTAATCCTGCCTCAGCATTTGCTTCTTGGAGCATCTAGTAGTAAAGCACAAAACTGAACCTTGATGGATGCCGCTATTAGAGTTGCTCATCAGCAACTCACTTTCTGCCTTATACATGCTGCAATTTGCTTGGCACCGTTTTCCCCAGTCGGGTTATACAGAGCTGATGTTCTGCATGGCATAGTCATCCCTATTCAATGTTCCTATTTTAAGGTTTTCTACTGTTCAGACCACTGCAGTGCCTGACTTATACAAATTATTCATTACTCATGGGTGTGCTAAGTGGCTCATACCAACTCACAGGAACTGACTTTTGAATTTTCAAGCATGTTGCAAGCCAGGTGTGAAAGTGGGCTTATTGAAATTGGTCATGATTGGAGGAGCCACACCGTGAAAACTGGCAAACTACAGTATCAGTCAAAGCTTCTGTATTTTTTTCAAAGAGTTAGTTAACCAGCATTTCACTGAGTGATATTTTCCCAAATATGTGTGTTTAGGCAGATAAAAGGTTTGTGCTAATACTGTTTGGACAATTAAAGTTCTACATCTTGTACTCTGAGGAACTAAGAGAAAGATAACAATATACAATGTTAACCATTGTTACTCTATTATCTTGTTTTGAAATTTTGGGGCTTTTTTTCTTTTATAAAAAAAGTTGTAAACATGTTCAAGATAAAGAACAGTATATACAGTGGCAACTACACAATGGTACCTCAGTTTATGAATTTAATTATTTCCATGATTCTGGTCTCAAACCGAATGAGACAAGAACCAAATCAGATTTCTCCCTTAAAGATCAGCATTGATCCTAACCATTGAATTTGATTCTGTTCGCATCCAATTCAGTCTGTGAGCAGGTTGAAGACAAATTAAATTCATGAAGCAGTGCTACTGTAGTTCTGTTATTTGTTAAGTCAGTGAATCTCCTCAGCAATAGTTTCAACAGACAAAGACAGAAACGGAGAAAGACGGATCCTGAAGATTAAACTTGTCTGCCTGGCACACTTGTCTTCCACTCAGTCAACAATTCTGGAAGCAGGACAGCCAAGAACACGAACTGGCTTCTGTCTTGCTGGCTGTGAGCAGGACTGGGGGCAGCCAGAGCACAAGGCTGAAAGCCTTGAGTTCCACAGAAGAACCTCTAAGACTCCAGAGAAAGAGGGGATAGCGGCAGAGGGCACTGACCCTGCAGCTGAGACAGCCCCAACTGCGCCTTGTTTAACATTTTACATATTCCGATCCCCACTTGAGGTATCTTTGTGAACAGACACATAGTATGCTGGTTACCGCCCACACGCCCACACACACGCACACTATGGTAGACCAAGTGGGCTATAAAGTTGGAACACATTCTCTAATTGTCAAAATGATGAGTCAAGTGTTCTGAGGAAAACACTGAGCGATGTCTCTTACCTGAATTCCTCTCTATGGGCTCAAACACTGAAAGTGTGCCATCATTGAGAAAATACGAAATAACGAACATCCTGTCTGCATCAACACATTCGTGTCTGATTAGTCTTGCAAAGAAACGGAGTATATTACCTATGTTGCCATAGCTAAATAGAAGAGAAATAAGGGGTAGAACATTATACAAGTACTCTTCCATAGGTCATGTATGCTGAATATGTCTGCAGAAGGAGTATGCTATGGATTTAATAAAGGAGCTTCAAGTTCCCAAAGTGAAACCAACCATCTTAGTAAATTAGATTCTAAATCTAAACACTGATTTTCTCAGTATATTAAAATACCTCTTATTTTTTTACACGTCCTGAATAGCACACCGGGGCAATGGATTCAATGCAAATGCCATAAACGCACTGCTCAGACCAACCACACTAGCTGGCTGTTCTGAAACACCTGGCTGGCTGCTCTCCAGTCATCTCGATCATCCCAGATTGAAGCACGAGTGCCAAGCCCTGCGGACCGATTCAGTCGAGAGTATGGGGCTGGGGAGATGGCTCAGTAGAATAAGCGCTTGCCTGGCAAGTGCAAGGGCCTGAGTTTAATCCTCAATTCCGCCAAAAACAAAAACAAAAAACAAATCAATTGAGAGTATGCTCCACCTGTGTCTACCCACGGCTACTTCCAAGCCTCACCACCCACTGTCCCATGCCCATGGCTCTTGTGCCTGGCAGCCAACGTCCACCCTTCCTCAATCCCATCTCCACCTGCCCAGCATCACACCCCAGTCCCTTCCAGGGACAAATACTATAGACACGCCCCTTTTATACCACTTAGCACCTGTATTCTAAGTGGCCACTGCCAGTCCAACAGATAACCTACTACTATTATGCAGTACTAGATTATATGGGATTATTGTGCTGAATTCACACACCTACAATATTTAAATGGCAATGAAGTACCCATGTCTGACAAAACTAAAGAAAAAAGGGGATACAAATGAAGAACCATTTTGTATTTGTATATACAAAATAGGATACATATACAACTACTTTCTCTTAATTCAATGAGAAGATTTGTATTAAAAGTGTTTGGACAGGATATCTTGTACTATGAATAACCACTAAGAAGACAACAATACGCAATATATTAATTATTGAAACTGTCCTACTAATCGATCTTGAAACTGTCTCATTGCTATTTGTTTCTCAATAAAATTAATTAAAAAAACAAATAAATAAACATTAAAAAAACAAAGGGAAGCACAGTGTCTCATTAACCATTATGCAATAAACACGTTTTAACCTTCTAAGTGCCATATTCAATAAATGTAGAAAGTTATCCCCAAACACACTGGAAACTGCACTTAAAACTATGTATGAACAGAACAGTAGGGGGAAGACAGGATCAAACTGTAGAATCACAGATTCCCAAAGTAGATTGCTTGCTCACTGAGGAAATTACCTGGAGCTCTCTCAGCAGAACCGTGTGTGCAGATCCCAGCTAATGAAACAAGAACCTCGTAACAAATAGTTAAGCCCATGGCGAGGTCCTTGGAAATCAAAACCATTACCCAAAGGAGGTACAAATACGATCAACTACGTCCTTCATCACTTCCTATCACAACAGTAGGCAGAGTGGTCCTCACTTGCAGATCCTCCTATGCTTACATTCATTCTTTGTGTTCACGGTGACTTAAACAAAACACACAAAGTATTTTGGATTTGCAGAGGCAGAAAGTGCTTCTCTCCACCCTTTGCTTGGATTGTCGGAGAAGCTCGGCTGAGAAAGCAGAGGGCCAAGATTCCCAGCTTGAGGCGTCATGGGAGACAGAGCTCAGCAGTTTGTAAGGCTAGCCCCAAGGCAGCTGGGCAAAACAGCCAGAGCAGCACAGCTCTGTTTTCTTAGTGCCTAGTTCCCAGGACCTGGAGCCAGCTATACTTCCTCAACCATCTTCTCCGATACATAACTGGACCAGCAACTAACACATAGACTCAGCAGCCCCTTTCATGAAAGACCCATAACTTTTCAGATGCCTGAAATATCACTGTAGTCATTGCATGAGGTCTAGTCCAAGGCAAATGAACACTACTATAAATTTAACTTCTCAGCACTTACATAAATTTCTAAGTATATGTATTAAGGGTAGACTTTTCAACATACCATTTTTCACATAATTCTTGTGTTCTGGAGATCTCATCAATCTGGAATATAATCTACTCAGTAAAATTTTTAGACTAGGAATTCACAAAGTTTATTATGTATAAAAATCACCTGGAAGGCTCATTAAATATGTAGAATGCAGGGTCCCATCCTGAGACATGGTGACTTAGGAGTTAGCTTGCATCTCTAGAAACCTATATTATTAAGAAGTATCCCAGGAGATTCTGCCAACATGGTCCCCAGAACACAGTGCAGGACTCGACACTATGAGTGTCTTCAGATATTTGCTTGACTGTGTAAGCTAGTTGTCAACCTGCTCTGAATACTTTCTATCACTATATTCTGCCCTCCCAGCGGGCCACCTACTCATACCTCATGTACAGCCACAACAATGCACCCGAATTTAGCACTACACAGACTTTTCTCTCAGTTTGGTTGCTTCCATGTGTGTTTATCCTCACCATCTCAAAATGAATTGTTACAAACTTTGACATCTAGAAGCCACAACTTAACTTTTTTTCTTTTTCTTTTTTCCCTGTATTTAGTACAGGGTCTACAGGGTTTCACCACGTAGATCGGACTCATAACAAGTCTCCTGTTTTCAGCCTCCCAAGTGCTGGGATTACAGGTGCACGCCACCACACCCAGTCTCAGACACTGTTTCAGAGTGCCCCCAGGGGCAGGGCCAGCACGGCAAGCTGAGATGGAACCCCAGCTGCAGCGCTCTGCCTAAGCAGGTGCTTTCGTCTGCTGAGCTATCTGGCCGGCCCCACAACTTAACTTATGTACACAGTTCTGTATTGATAATCACTGCCTCAAATTCCTCTTCCATTTTCTCTTAACTCCATTTCCATTAAGGTTGTTCTACCTAAACTGCTCTTGTTGAGGTCAACAGTGATCTTCATAATGCTAAGTCCAACGCTCAATTTCTTCTGTTCATATCTAATTTGATTAATTGGCAGCAAGTGGCACAAATAAGCGTTTCCTTTTGATGGGATATTCACTTTTTTATATGGGGGGGAGTTTGAGACAGAGTGTCGCTATGTAGCCCAGGCTGGCCTCTAATCCATGGCGATCCTCTTGCCTCAGCCTTCCAAGTGCTGGGCTTATAGGCATGTGTATCTCCAACACCCAGAATGGAAGTTCTATGGCTTCCTATCTCTTTTGTTCACCAATACATCACAAGACCTAAGTCAAAGCTTAGGAAATATTTGTTGACTAAAAAAATGCATGGCTCAAGCAGAGCTACATATCTACTTAAAAAAAAAAAAAAAAGATAGAACACCTACAGCTATAAAGTCCTTGCAGCTGAAGTGTACAGAGAGGCTTATCTGTATTGATGGGGGAAAATCTCTAAAGAAGGTGGACGACACATGGACAACACCTGGAACAAGTGAAGAGACTAAGATTAAACCATGACTTTTTGGATGGTCAGTAGTGACAAATAGTACGGGGGTGGGATAAGCAGCCTTTGTAATGGAACTCATCTGAACCTTCTAGCCACCATTACAAACCGGACCAGTGAACCAGTGAATACCTGTTCTACTTTCTGTGCTCACTTAGTTACCTATTCCCCTTCCTATTGGACAAAACATTTATTGGCTCCTAAGTGAATAGCCAGCAATGTTTTCTTAGGGGAACAACCAAGCCACTCCCAAACCTCAAGGACCTCAGTGTCTGGGGAGCCCACAGATTACATAAACAAGTAATCCCCACACCACGGGGTGGGGGGTGGGGGTTGGGGTGGTTGAACTCCAGAAGTCCAATTTCTCTGGATTCAAATCCAAACACAACTGATACTTAGTCGTGTGAGCTCAAGAAAGTCACAGAGCCTCTCTGGGCCTCAGTCCGCTTATGTGAAGAGCAGGTATAATAATCTGTGTACTTTGCAAGGCTGTTTTCAAGATTAAACAAGTATTATAAAATACTTAATGCACAGTAACCACTAATTATGCTAGTAATATTAATGGGGTATAGTCGACTGAGTATATAAAGTAAAACTAACCCAGCACAACACACTGAGAAGTGTATTATTCTGGTTCTCCCAAGTAAGACTAGACAGTCTGTCTGCCCAGCAAGCCACTATAGTGAAGTTGACCCAGACAATAAAGATCTCCACGCCCATCAAAAGCCTTATATGCTTTAATTTGAAATGATTTCTTCCAATGACTTGAAGTAGACAGCATTAGCCTCCTAACAATAGCACTCAGGAAATTTGTTTTAAGCGAGATAAATAAAACCAACGTAAGTCATATACAATTTCATCTCCCAATTCAGTTTCTTTATCTGTGTTAAGAAACTATCCTTTGTACGCTTTGGGAGATCATCCTCCTTAGGTTCTCACATTTTTGAAACCTTGGTTCATTCAAACTCACATGAGTCTAGAGCCGAATGTGCAGTTACTATGGAAACAACAAGGTCACTGTGTGGGAGGAGCTTGAGAGAAGCTTATTCCTGGCGCAGACTGAGCAGCAGACAGAAAGAAATGAAATTAGAGACACGTACGACTATGGCAGCATCCTTCAGCTACAACAACACAACACGAGTGCAGCAGGCTGCCCGCACTCAAGGTGCTTGGGCAAGTGCACACAGCGCAGCCAGAAGGAAAGGCAAAGTCAACTACTCCCAAAAACCTGCTTGCCCCTGGGTTTCAGAAGCAACACACTAGGTACCATTTCATCTTGTTTACTGTTAAATCTAGTTGTCCCCGCCAAAGCCTCATGCAATCACGGGTGCAGGCTTCCAGAGTTTGTGATTAATTCATGATCCAACTGGGATTATGGGTGTGAGTGCTGCACCCACCCTGGGGCAGAGAGCCTGAACGCAATATGAAGAAGGGGGAGAGGCTTGCTAGCTGCTCCTCCCTTTGCACTTTGCTGTTTTCCACTGCCACGAACTGCTGCCCTCTGCTATGTGCCAGTCTTTCTTGGAGCCAGCTGAGTATGGACCAAAACCTCCACTAACAGTGAGCTAAATAAACCTTTCTCCGTTAATTTTGGGTGTCTGGTATTTTGTCTCAGCAATGAAGGAAAAGTAACTAAGACATTTACTTATAGGAAAACTTCGCTCTCCTAAAATCAGGCCATTCTTCCTGCCCACCTCCTTTGCACGGCTGCCCTTAGAAAAACAGTAGTGAAAAGCATCTATCAAAAGCCCAATCCTGAAGCTGGGGAGATATCTCAGTAGAATAAGTGCTGCCCTGGTAAGAACAATGGCCTGAGTTCAATTCCTGGTTCCACCAAAAAAAAAAAAAAAAAAAAGCCCAATGCTGGAGCCATTCCATAAACACTATCCTCAATAAGGGACAGTGGCAAATAAGTTAAGAGTCCCTTCCTATGATGAAAATCAGTGCCCTGAGGACCACTGAAACACTCCCAAAGCCTCTATTCTCAGTCACTCAGATGGGGACACAATAATTACCATTTTTAAGGAAGATGAAAACCACATTCTGAGTGGCACCGAATTTAGCTTTAAAGAAAACTCTGAAGTCCTTACAGTTAAAGGTTCCCCCCCCCCCCAGAACAGGGGATTGAACTCAGGCTCTTGCACTTGCCAGGGAAGCGCTTATTGTACTGAGCCATCTCCCCGGCCCTTTAAAGGTTGTTTCTTAAAAAACAACAACGAAACAGTATGTCATGGCAAAAGCAGACTTTGCAACATTCTGTACAATTCTCAGTAAGAGATTTCAACCATTTTTATAGAGACAGCACAACTACTGCTCTCTCTCCTTCAAAGGTTCCACAACAGTAGGTGACCCCATTCAATCTGCCTGGATGCTATCTTTCTTATTCCTTCTAGTCTTATTCCCTTTATCATTTTCCCTCTAGGCCTTCCTGACCTGTTACTTTCCTCACACAGAACTGCAATGTTTAGTCTGCATCGTATTCAGTCCTCTGCAGCCTATCACCACCAGCGTTTCCCTGACTCCTTTCTCCAAGGTCTGCTCCCCTGAAGAAGCAGATAACAGCATTGGGCAGAGATTATCTTCTCTATGTGTGACTCAAGAGGCACATTCCGCTGCAGGTTTATTAGGGATATTTTGGAAAATCCATTTTTTGACATTATACTGAGCCATAGGTGCAATCTACTATTACTGAACTCAACCAAACCTCTCAAATCAAAATAACATTAATTGGTAAAATAACACTTCAGAAAACCCAAATTGTTGAAAACATCTGTATCAGGGGTTAGCAAACCACAATCACTGGGCCAGATGCAGCCAGCCATCTGTGTGTTTGGCCTGTGAGGTGAGTGGTTTTTACATTTTTAAATGGCTGAACTAAGATCAAAAGAATAATATTTTGTGGTAGCTAAAAATTATATGAAATTCAAATATCAGGGTCCATAAAAAGTTCTGGTGAAACAGTCACACACATTAGTATTCTATGACGGCTTTCACACTACAACAGCACATGTGAGTGGTCGTGACAGAGATGACATGGCCCACAAAGCCAAAACTATTTATTATGTGACCCTTTAGGTTTGCTGACTCTTCATCCACATCATTTTCTGGGGACTATGTTGCGGGGAAGGGAAGATAAAAGGATACGCAAGACAACACAGAACATCAATCATGTGATTTCGAAGCTCTCCAAATGACACATTTAAGTAAAGACCTCTTAACCAACCTTACTAAAAAGCTAAAACAGTGTGTGCTTGGACTCGAGATCAGCGGAACTGTGTGACCCCTGCTTCGCCACGAGGGCTATGTCATAACCCCCAAACACATTTGAGAAAGACAGGACTAAAATCCCGGCTCCCTGCCAGTACCTGTCTTCTTTCAGCATCTTCTTCAGGTAAGGTACAGGCTTGAGGGTTAGGCAGGAACGGAGAGAATCCTCCTCAGACCCAAAGCCTGTGTAAGGTGGAAATTTCCTTTCTATTTTTGGAGGAGGAGGTGGCTTGCACGAAACAGGGGTGAAGTTCTCTATAACAAAACAAAGGCAAACAAAACATCAATATTTTTTTTCTCCCTGATTATGGCTGTTTTGAAAGGTCTGTTATGATTTCAACATGAACATGGAGATCTTTATAGACTATTTTAAACTCTTTCAAACAAAACATAGCAAAATCCTGTGAGAGAATAGGTTTCAATCATGTTTACAAAAACCACAGAGCTCAATAATGGCCATTGGTTCAAAAGCAAACAGAAATCCATGTCAAATAAGTAAACATTTATCTTTTGTCATCACATCCCCATTTCTGAATTTTTTTGTTCTTCCCCTGATTTTTCCAATGATACAAAAATTCAGACATGAAACTCTATGCCACCGGTTCCCTATTTTAACCTGTAATTTAGCCCTCTCCTAACTTCAGTCAACACTCGCTAATAACATTCTTTTCCAAGTAGGAACGATTCCTGACTATTTCCCCTTCCCCATCCACCAGCTCCTCCTCCTAGGCCTACTGTTCCAGCTCCCTCCTTCACCTCCAGCTCAACTGAAGGGCAGGCTACTTCACTATCTAGTTCAAAAACAAACTGAAAAATGAAACTTGCTGCTTTTCACCAACTACTGCTCCACACCTCTCCTGTCACGCCCCTGGAAAGACTGCAACTGGACTCAAATGTAAGGAAACAAAAACAAACCCCAAACAATGAACACTTGTGAAATACCCAACCGTCTATCCTCTTGAGGAAAATGCTCACTGTAAATACTATTGGCCGTATTGCTTTATTTATCACCTGTGAGGAAGGAGAGGTGGAGAGAAACATGGGACATATCTGCAATAGCCTTGAAGCACTTGTGTGCTTACTTGGAAGGCTGCACAACCTCTAAGAAGCAACTGTGCTTTCCAGAACAACCAACAGGTTCACCCAACCCACCTAAGTCACATTGTGTGTTTGCCCCCTCACAATAGTAAAGAAGCTAGCAGGATCTTTTCTAAAACCAAACCAAACCACGTATTATCTCCTTTCCACTTCTTCCCCAAGCTGGAGTGTGTCATACATGTCTCAGTTGTCAAAGGAGTCCTGCATAGGCAAAGGTTTTGTTCTCTATTTTCAAAGCTCTAACAGAAGAAAAGTACAAATTGGAGCACAAGTTTTAGTGTATAACATCATAACAGAAAATGGGTATCAATTTATCATCCAAGATAATCGAACCCTAAAAAAAGAAGAAAGAAAAAAGGAGAGAGGAGGAAGATTTTCTAAAAATCTCATTTATCAAGAGGCTGAGTTTACAGCTATCTCTAACACTGACTTGAAAATGTTCTCATCTTCCACCTTTGCTCCGACTTCCTAGCAGCCTTTGTGTGAAATTTCTGCAAACACGATCCCCAGGAGTATTGTTCCACCCTCACAGGAAGTGCTCCCTGCAGACATGTTGACAAAGAGAACATGCCATCGAATATTTCGGCACTGGCTTGATGAGAAGGGGTAGCCAGGAAGCGCACACGGACTCTGTGAGTCTCTCTCCTGCTATTTTTGTGGTAATTAAAGAGAAGAGCGGAGAGGAAAGTTCGAATCTCGGAGTTAGAATTGGGGCAGACTCCACTGTCGCTCACCACTACATCAAAGACATCACTGTCTGGGACCTTCATTTCAGGACAAGGACCATGCATGTGGCAGGAGAGCTCTACGTGATTATTAGAAACAGGGGCGTGGGTGGTTTCTTACAAGAGGAGATATATACTCTACCTACTAATCTGAGAGGTCCAAATCAAAAGAATAAGCATACTGAATTGCAATGTAATTAAAATTATATTCTATACAGCCCCCCACCCCACATCACAGGCTTTCTAACAGTGTTATTTGCTCAACTACCTAATTTTTGCATTAGATTTAAGTAACAAAAGAACCAATTTAGTTTTCCTCTGCACCCACAGTGCCATCTAGTGTAGAAAATCTGAGAACTGGTGCACTCCATCACCCCTGGCTTGTAACACCCACATAGACCACTGGAAACCTGGTCCGAGATCCAGCTTTACATAACATTGCTCCAGGTAATTCACAAACATTCACCCCACGATGGGCCCGTGTGGCAATGACAAGCTGACTGGCTTTGGAGTCTTCATGCTCTTTTAGGGTGATTTTCTATTCATCACCTCATTTGGAAGCACTGCTGGGGAAAGCCTTCCATCACCTCAAAGTTCATCTCTTCATCTACTGACCCAGAGATTGATCCAGGCTTTGCGAAGCCTATCTGCTACTTAATTTGAAAGAAGCTCTTTAAGACAAAGAATGCTACACTATTAAGGCAAAATGAACCCAAGGCTTTGGGCTAGAGCTCTTGTAAAGGAAGAACGCTAAAGACCGTAATTCATTCAAGGTAAATCTGCCTCTGCTTGAACTAATATCTAGGCCAAACAATTTCAGAGAAAAATTTATTAGGGAGTAAAATTGAGAATCACACAATGTTAGAGCTCTGACAGCCTTAGGACCCATCTAATTCTTCAACCATCTTTGGCATATAGGGACGGTTAAAGAAGCAAAATTGTTAGGTCCATCAGTGCCATGTGGTAACCTAGGGAGATCCTTCCTTTCTCAAAAAATAAAAGAAGGGCTAAGGTTGCAGCTCAGTGGTACAGTGCTTCCTTAATATGCCTGCAGCCCTGGGATCAATCTCCAGTATCAACAACAACAAGAACAAACAGAAAAGGAAAACAAGACAAAAATAGAAAAATAATTACCCAAGCTGAAGACATTTAAATCTATGACTTTAGTAGAAGAAAAGCTTGAGGAAGCCCTGGAGCCTTTTCAACCTCCACCCTACAAGACTTACAGGCCTCCACATGCCAATCCATTCTCAAGCACATTGGATACTGGCCCACCACGACAGCCCAGCTGCCTAATGGAACAGTCATACTTGCATGTGAAGAACAAGGTATCTAGGGAATCAAATTGTCCTTAGGCTTTTTCAGATGGATTAGTGGTGCATACCTATAGTCCCAGCACTCAGGAGGCAGAGACAGGAGGAGTGGTGTGAGTCCGAAGCCAGTCTGAACTATATAGCAGGATCTTGTCTCAAAAAAGCAGCAACACCCAGGTCCACAATTTCTGACATTGCCAGTGAAGTGGAAGACTCAATACTACTATGGACTACTGGACTCTTTTAGAATATTTTGCTGAATTAGCACACCTATAATATTCAAATAATGGAACTAAACAAAAAAGGGGATACAGATGAATGTCCATTTTATATCTGTGTATTCAAAGTGGTTAGGATAGATATATAGTTACATTCCCTTAATGAATAGAGTGATTTCTTCTAATGGTGTTTGTAAATAGGATCTCAAGTCCGCATCTCGTACAGCAATTAACCCCTAGGAAGAATGTATGCAATGTGTTAATTATTGAAACTGTCCTACCAATGTGATTAGAAACTGTCTCATTGCTATTTGTTTATCAATAAAATTATGGGGAAAAAAGAGAAAAAAAAAAGCAGCAACAAAACAAAACAAAATTAAATATGTAAAAAAAAAAGGGCAGGGTATTGGTGGTACAAGCCGTAATCCCAGCACTCAGGAGGCTGAGGCAGGAGGACTGTTATGAGTTTCAGGCCAGCCTGGGCTATGTGGTAAGTTCAAGGCTGTTCTGAACTACATGGCAAGACCGAGTCTTAAAAAAAAAAAAAAAAAAAAAACTAACTAACTCAATACATAAGGGATTGTTTTCTTTCCTTTGTAGGTAGAGGTGGGGCTTGAGACAAGCCCTTACCATGTAACTCATGCAGCCCTTGAATTCACGGGGCTCCCACCGCAAGACTCCCAAGAGCTAGAACTACAAGCATGCGCCATCACACCCAGCTGAGAGGAGCACATCGTCTTGACAGCCACACTGGGGCTCAAACGTCTCAGAATTCTGTTAAGTCCTTGCTTCCACATAAACAGAAAGGTTAGCCATGCACCTTTCTTGGGACTAGGGGCAACTCCTCTTTGTCTGCCACTTTTTCTTTCCCCAAAATAAGCTGGGGTGCCACCAGGCTCTACAGCATCAAGGCTGAATAGTGCATTAGCAGTCTGCCCCTGGCTACCTGCCACAGAGGTCGCTGACTGGGTTGTTGGCACCTGTCAGCTCCTTCCTGCTTGCTACACGGTGACAACGCGTAAGAATTCTACTGACCACAGTAACTGACAAGGGAGAAAATGTGACAGTAATTATTGACAGGACCACAATTATTCAGAGCCTCCACCTGCAATCCAAGCTCAATCAAAGCAAGTCCCACCAACACAGTAATACTGAATGAAGTCTTCATTTAGACTGATTTTAAATGCTTATGTCAACTATTAGGCTGTATGAATTGTTTTCATCTCTGCTGTGTTCAGCAACATGCTGTAGAAACTAGTGAGGAAAAATAAGGACTCAAAACTGACTTGAAATTTTTAAATGCCAGAAACAACTAAGTAACATGAAGTATATTAATTTAGCCATATCAAAAAAAAAAAAAATTCATTTAAAAGCAAGTGTAAAGGTTATCCTGGAGCATTTCTTGCTTCCCTCAACTCCATCATAGATATAATTTCTAGCTACTACCTACATTAAATATAATGTTAACTCAAGATATGGTATAAATGAATAGAAATATTTATTCTAATAGTGTTTGTGGATAGGATACCATGTCTGCATCTTGTACAATGAATAACCACTAAGAAGACAGTATGCAATGTATTAAGTATTGAAACTGTCCTACTAATTGATTTTGAAACAGTCTCATTGCTTTTTCTCAATAAAATTATTTAAAAAATAGAAAAAGAAAAAAAAAGATATGGTATAATGATAGTGTCTTATTAAATAGGATGTTTAACATACGTTATAAAAATACAAAAAGTCAGTGACTATGAAATGCAGGTTAATTTTGCACTTGCATAATTTTCTGTTTAAATGTGTAACATTCATGTGACATTAGCTTTTAAAGACACCAACTAATTCTTTAAAAACATAATACAGTAAATCTATACAGTGAACAAAAGAAGTGGAGGAGAAATTAAGCATCAGGACACAACCAAAATGGATCCCAGGGCATTTCGAGCAGATACATCTACCCTGGGCAGCCAGAAAATTCCCTGGAGAAGTTTTTGTTTGTTTGTTTTTTTCTCCCCCCCGCCCCCCAGAAGTTGGTAAGACACCAACAGTCTCCCAAGGACTCCAGTGTGATAGCCATCATCCCAAATGCAAATTAGATTTGGTCAAAATCAAACTGACACTTTTTACCAAGATGGCGCCGAAAGCAAAGAAGGAAGCCCCTGCCCCTCCCAAAGCTGAAGCCAAAGCAAAAGCTTTGAAGGCCGAAAAGGGTGTGCTGAAAGGCATCCACAGCCACAAAAAGAAGAAGATACCAACGTCGCCCACCTTCCGCCGTCCCAAGACGCTCCGGCTCCGGAGGCAGCCCAAATACCCTCGGAAGAGC